AGGCCTGTTCTATCTTCTCCAGAGCTTAACCCACCAGGAGACCCATTATTACCACATGGCCACCAACCTGGTACTGAGTCCCCAGCTCTGTAAACCCCAATGACTCTGGCAGATATGTTTTATGTCAGTTCAAGCACTAGGAGAACTGAGTTCAGAGCATTTTATTTCTAGAGCCTTCCATATTTCTCTGTCTTTGTTCCCTCCCTCTCTTGGTTATTATCCTTGGACACTTTCCAAGCCAAGCTGCCTTGATTGCTTGGGGAGACGAAGGCCCTAAGCATCCTCCATAGTGTCTCTGGGTCTGGCAAGGGTGCCCTTGGGGACCATTTCTTCTTCCTTCAGCATAACTCTGCAACTGGCCACGATATAGTTGGCCTTGGCTTTTAGGGGTTGTTTTGCCTAAGAGACTTTCCGTGTGTCAGAGAACATGGAGGGGGGAGTGGAGGTGGAGGCCTCTGTCTCCAATGTTGGGGAGGGCTATGTGAAGAGTAAGCCCCCGGGTACAGAGGGGAGGGAGACGGCCAGCTGTTCTCTTTCTTACCGTGCCAACCTAGCCTGACACCAAATTAATAGCATTCAAATGAGATGCAAAGCATTATGCAAATACCGAGGAGAAGGCCACTCTTACCAGAGCCTCTGGGTTGTTGGAAGGCCAGTGCCTAGAGCCCTTTCATGAAGAACCCCATGGGCTCTCTTCAACTTCAATCCTCATACCTCAGTACCAGCTTGTGCATAGGACCAAAGAGACTGGCCAGGCACTCAAATTGGCTTTGCCTCCCAAGCACTCAGGATCCCTTCCCATCTAAAACAACCCACAGACAGCTGTGAAGGTAGCATAGCCTCCCTGGGTCCCAGTTCCCCACTCATCAGCATGTATGCAAACTAGATGCAAGGCTTTTGAATCTATTTAACTGTCCATTAAAATAGCCCCATGCCTGTCACCTCTGCATAGGCCCGGGCTTCCAAATTGCCAACCCCTGCTGCCTGCAAAAGCCATGTGTTTCCTGAGCCTGGTAATTGCCGTGGTGTTTGTTGAGCTGTATTTGCATTTGATTGTCATTTAACTTTCTATCTTTCTCCTTCAATCAAACCTGGGGTGGGGGGGGTGGGAAGGTAGGGGGTAGAGGGGAGGAGAGTTGGGTTTTTACAATTGAATCTTCATTTTAGTTTCAGCTTCTCATGGTTTTCAAAGAGCTTCATTTATTGGTGTCACAAACTTGAACCCTGGGACTTCTCCCTCCACATGGGGGGGCATCCTCCCACCCATCCCAGGACTCCTACGTGCAAATAATGTAGCCAACAAGATGGAGCTCAAGTCCTATCTCCAGTCTGCATGTTCCAGCACCTGCCTGGTTTCTGCCCAGCTAGTGGCATTAAACATTTATGGAGCTGTGGAGGATCAAAGGCCCCGGCTGGGGGTGGTGGGCAGGCTGGAGGCCTGGGTTTGGAGATGGAAAGTAGTTCACATCAAACCACCTTCTGCTGCTGTCTCAGTGCACCCGAGGCTCTTGCCACAGTCATCTGGTCCCATTCCTGGAGTGGGAGCGAATGCTCAGAGCCAGAACTCTTGGCTGATTGACTTTGGGTAACCCAGGAAACAAAGCCTGATATCCCTGGCCATACCAGAAACCCACCAAGAAGATGGTGGAAGTGAACAGAAAGCAGTGCCCCTACAGTCCCTGAGATAAAGTGCCAGGCCCCTCCCACTGTTCCCTAAAACCCTAAATCTCATTGGACGCTCTGATTTGAAAACTGCTTTGGAGAAGAGTGGATTTAGAAACACCCCCCCCCCACCTCTTCTTGCTCAGAAAGCAAGTGTCATCCCAGCAGAGACTTCAAAATAAGTCACCAATGTTCCTGTGACCCCCATGAACTGACTGTTTAGGCTGTTTAGAATTTGAGAATTTGAGAAGTGAGCCTGGCTTTCCCAGGGATGTGGTTAGAGATCCACTCCCTCCTGGGTTAGCAGTGAAGTACCATCCTTCCTATAGTACCCAAAACCCATCCAAATGATGCCTTCTGATAGCTTTTAGTTTGTATACCTTCATAATGAAGTAGCCACCAAGAATGACCTGTCACTCAGATGACCAAAAAGCCTCCTACAGCCTAGCCATGACCAAAAAGCCTCCTACAGCCTAGCCACTGATGACTCCAGCCCTTCCTCACACTTTCCCATGGGAGCTCAGCATTGTGGGACCAGTCTCCCTACTGACCTCAGCTAGCTGGCAGTTCCCATCATGTTGAGGGCTTTATAAGCCACACCCCACTCAGTCCTCCTTCCATTGAGTGTCCTCCTTCCTTCTCTATCCACTGAAACATTAGGCGATTCAACTTGGTTTCACCCATTTGCTGTGTGAAACCCTCACTGACTTAAAGCCATGCCCCCTTCTCCCTATCTCACAGCACTCATTAAGCATCTGGGATATATGCTGGACACTGGGCTAGGTCAGAGTAGAGGACATGCAGGTCATGCATTCACCAAGTCAACAACTAGTAAAAACAAAACACAAAGCAGGTGATCTAGTGAAAAATTACATGGGGGGAAAAATCAGGATCCTTTGAGAGCAAAGGTGGAGACAGGATAAAAGGGCCATGCAGGTCACCCATACAGGTTGCTCTCTCTCTCCTCTTCTCTCTCTCTCTCTCTCTCTCTCTCTCTCTCTCTCTCTCTCTCTCTCTCTGTGTGTGTGTGTGTGTGTGTGTGTGTGTGTGTGTGTGTACAGGAGCCAGAGAGTAACTTACAAGAATTGGTTCTCTCCTTCCACCATGTGGGACCCAGGAATAGAACTCTAGTCAACAGGCTTGATAGCAAATGCCTTTTACCTGCCAAGCCATCTCATTAGCACATGCCACTCTCCAATGTGTATATGAATTGAGCAAACTCTCAGACTGTAAGCCTTGATTATGGGTGGCTGTCCCCTTGGGTATTTTATTGTCCTTGGTCATGGGTAATGCCAAGGTCTAGGAAGAATGGGCCCTTAGAAAAGCATGAGAAAAGATGCTTACCAAAAGTTCTACTACTTCCTATCTTGGTCCAGGCTCAACCTCAACCTCAACCTTGCTGGGAACCCATTCCACAGAAGCCATGTTTACCAGATGTGCAGTAAAGAGTGACAGCAAGCTTTGTTGTTATGCCAATCATGCAGTACAAATCCATTCTCTGAGTTCAGGGCAAAGTGCTGTATTCTGGGACTGTAGCCCCCATTGGACCTCTCATGAATGCTCAGGCAGTCAGGAAGGTCGTGTTGCAGGGTCCCAGAGAGCTTGCTTGTCTTCCTTCTTGTAAGTAGTGCCCAGCCCATTCAGAGCCCCACAGGGAGGACAGCTGAGTGAGACCACCAGCAGCCTTTAAGTCACTAGGAACCTTCCTGATGTATATGGTTCAACCTGCATTATAGTTTGCCCCCATTTCCCGGAGCCTTGTAGTCCTGAGGGACCCAGGGGTGTGGGAAGCGCTCAGGACTACCTTACAAGCAAGAAAGGCAGACTCTCAGGACACTTGCCAGGCATTTCAGTGCCTGCTCCCCAATTCTTGTTTCCCCTCCCCCATCTCCCCTGGCTCTCACTTTGTATCCTTTCATCAAAGGCCCCCTTCCTCCCAGCCTTCTGCTGTTCTCCCCCTTTCCTTTGCTTCTCCAAACACCTGTCCAAAAATTCTCTCCCAGAATCTTCCCCAGATAATTCCACAAGCCTCCTGCTGCCTGGGATTCTTTACCACAGGCAAGGTGGCTCCCCAGAGCCCACAAAAGGATCTACAGAGAATCAAAGGAGCAGAGCTGGGAGGCTGTAGCTCTCTGAATAATGAAACTTAGGTCAGAAGTCACCTACTTCCAGGATGAGATGGAGGAAATGCAACGGGCGAATGATTGCATTTCTCTACAGATATTCACATCAGCCACATGGTTGTGTCCTATTGAATCCACTGAAACTCCTCTAGCAAGCCTAACCACGCTCCTGTCCCTTTGGTCTAAATAACAGACTCAAGATCCATACAATTATGACTAGCCTGTTGTTGACCTATAGCTTATTGGGGCTCCTCAGATCAGTCATAGAATCTTATTTTTCCATACTATTGAATGATACAGCCTTTTGATTACTGTCCCTTCTTCAAGTTTCCCTCCATCTGAGACAATCCTGGAGGGCTGGAGGTCTAGTTCAGTGTTTCATTTTATTTTTTCTTTATCAAGACTAAGATCATTTGAGAGACCCTGGTTCCTAGCACGGGGTGGGGGTGGGGTGGGGGGAAGCAATTAAATGAAAATGTAAAACTAAAACATCCATAAAGATCCCTGGTACTCAAGCTTGCCTTATTTTCTCTATCAGTTCTGAAACCTGAGCTGATACCTGAGCTGATCTGTGTCACTGTGGCTGCTCTGGTTCCACAGAGGGGACAGAGGAAGCTGAGTATGGAAATCCAGGGCTGCATGGGGACCGAGGGTGCTGCCTTCAGCACCCCACAGCTTGACCCAGGTTGCCTCCTACCAAGTGGAGAATGTCTCCCCAGGACACAAGTGCCACTGGCTTTTAACTATAATATCAGGATAATTAAGCTTTTCTGTGAGCACAGTTTGCTGCTGATGCAGCTGCCTGGAGCCCTGGCATTTATTGAGCGCAAAGTAATAATTTATTGTCCTTTGTACGCTCAAAAGCCGTCTTCATTATCGGCCCAGGATGGAGCTGCCACAAGAGCAGGCGGGCCTCACCAGCTGCATCACTAGTGTATATCTTCCCAGGTCACACTTGGAGCCTTCAGGTACTAGGATGGGGTGGGAAAAGGTGGATAGGGGGTTGTTCTCTTTAATGGAGAATCCGATTAGAACCTAACACCTTGGGAGGTTGCTAACCCAGTTGAGGGTGGCAAGCTTGGCTGAGCGTGGGCAGCTCGGGAAGGCGGGGACTGTGTGCCACATTAGCAAAGCAGTCCTTTCTCCAGGGCTGGCGAGGCTAGGAAGCCTATGCTCTTGCCTCTGGGTCTTCTGCGCCTTTGCTTGAGACTTTACGGTAAGCCGCTCCTCCCGCGCCCCCGCCCCCAGCCCCGCGCGGCGATCCCCGGCGCCGACGCCAGGCGCTGGCCGTGGTGCTGATTCTGTCAGGCGCTGGCGGCGGCGGCGGCCCCGCTGCTCTCCCGGGGACCGACTCTGCCCCCCACCCGCGCCCACGCCTCTCCGAGTCCCCAGTGCCCCTGCCGCGGCCCCGACCCGGGGCGCGGCCGCAAGCAGCACCATGCGCCCAGCATCCCTGCTGCTCCTGCCCTCTCTGTTGGCGCTCCTGGCTCACGGTAAGGGACCCCGGCGTCCGGCCACAGGACGGGGGCGGGCACGGACTCCCAGGGGTAGAAAAGCAGGACTATCCCAGCGCCTCGCTCCGCGCGTCTTGTTGTCCCTCCCAAGCACAGCGTCCCGCCGGCTGCACTGTCCCCGGCACCGACCCAGTCGGGCGGGGCGCGGGCTCCAGCGGCGGGAAGCTGCCGCGGCTCCCGCCATTCGCTCCCGGCCGAGACCTCGCCTTTAATCATCTCCCCGGATCTAATGGGATTTCTCTGCTGCAATTCATCACGCCACCCCCTCCCCGCACACACACGCTCACCCGCGCGCTACCTCGCTCCACTTCAGGCGTCTAGGGGCGCCCGGGCGCGTTGCGGAGGGGGGGGCGGGCGGGAGATCGCGGGTGCAGAGTCCGGACAGTCCAGCTGGAAGCCGCCGTTCTGCCTCCCCTGCCGTTCTACAAACTTCGCTCGACTTTGCCGCTGAGTCTGGGGCCCCTCGCATCCTCACTGCAGAGGAATCTGGCCGGGTGGTGGCGGGACCCGGGATTGGGACATCTCTCATCTCTCTTCGCCTTGGCACTGTCGTGTCAGAATTGGAACCTAAAGCACAATTCTGGCGAGACATTCGGGGACCCTAGGAGCCTTCTCTCCGTCTCCTCACTCTTCGCTGGGCTGCAGCGACTGAGGTCCTGGGACTGGCTGTCCTCCCCGAAATTCTTTTATTGCACATACACAAGCACACACGCACATGATGGGAGAGCTGCCTCCCTTTGAGTCTGCTTTCCTGCCGGTCCTATCGACCCCAGAGTGGCAGACTAGGTGGAGGAACTCACCGTTTGCCCAAGCCCCGGACTCGAGTCTAGTCTCAACTTCTTTGGTCTCGGTCAAGAAAAGCTTGGCCTTGGAGTAGGCAGCAAGGGAGTTTGGAGGAAAGATGAATGGGAAGCAGAAAGGATGCAAATCTAATCTGAAGTAAGCGGTTTCGCAGTCTACAATGGCTCCCGTCCTCCGCTTTCACTGGTCGCTTGGTGGGGTCCGCGAAACCACACTTGGACTTGGGACTCGAAGTCCCTCGCCATATGGTTATGGTTTCTAGCGTCTGCTGTGGAGGATTGAGGGAGGGGAATGTCTAACCTTCGGACTCCATCTTCCTAGGCCGAGAGTTAGGAGGTCAGATCAGCCCGACTAAGGCTGGTTTGGGCTAGGCTGATACCAAACAACTGTTCTCCTGCCCTAGGGGCTCCGGAGCACATCTTTGAACCTCTAGCTCTACCTAGAAGACCATGTCTTTGCCCAACCCATCTGGTTGCCTAAACTGGCTCCTGCTGGGGCTAGGAAAACTTGGGATCCTGTGTTCATCTTGCTAGGAGGAGGAAGAATTTCATAAGCCCCACTCCAGGGGTGAGAAGGGATGAAAGAACCCTGCTCCCAGGCCAATAATGTGAGGATATCTCTCTGTATTCAGGACCTATATGGGGCTGACTGCATACTGGCTCCTTCCCTGGTGCAGAGACTGTCAGTCCTTTGGAATGGGATTCCTTGTCTGAGGGTATGAGTGTGGTCTGGATCCTGCAGGTCCCAGGATGTTTGTACTTCAGGAGCTCTGAGTGTTGTAGCCTCTGCCAGCTAGCTCCTTGCAGGTTAGAAAGAGACCACAAGTTTGCAGAAGAAAGCTGTTGTGGCTGAGTCCAGCCTGGCCTGGAGGTGTGGAGGTTCTGGTTGAGAGGAATTTACCTTCTCTGGCCAGAAGTCTGTGTCCCCAGCATTGTCCTTCTGTGACTCATTAGGTACTCCCAGGCTGTGGGATTGCCTTTCTGGTGGGTTTCATAGGTAGAAAGAGAGGATTTTGAAGCAGTGGCAAGCCCAGTAGGTAAAAGAGTCTGAACCCAGAGCTGAGTGGCCAGGAGGCCCCTACCTCTACAACATAGGTAGAAGGGTACTCATTAGGGTCTGAGCCCCCTCACTTGGGAGGTAGCTTACTTATCTATCTGGGGTTACTGGAGACTTTAGTAAAGGAGAGATTGGAGGAGTAAAGGCCTTATGCTGTAAGTCTTTTGACCAGAAGATGCATCCCTGCAGCCTGGCAGCCTGGGAGATCTCAAAGCTTTGCTCCAAAGAGGGACTCGGGCCACAGGAGGCAATCAGCCATAGTCTGAACCTTCAACCTTCAGTAGTCTAGAGGAGGCAGAGGCCCTGAAAACCAAGGAGATAGATGGGTAGTCCCCCATCCCACGGACTCAATTCCCTATTTCTTTTTTGGCCTCTTAGACATAATTGGTTCCAGGTCTGACAGGCATTACAGACTGTGGGGCATCCCCCCAACCCATGGGAAGTGTCAGGGAGGTCTTGCCACAGTGGGGGAGAAGACAGTTCGGCAGGAGCTGTGCCTGCCTAGGCCTGCTGTGTCAGTTTAATGATTTTTAATGAGCAATTACCTTTAGTCATTCTCTTAATTTCTGAATATCAATAAAGTTAATTAAACTCTGCATGTGTGAATGTGGCCTAGGGAGATTGTGAAGGTAAAAGCAGCCAAGACTGGGGTGGGGTTAGGTCTCCAGGTACAGAAGCTGCCTCCATAGTTATGTGACCTTGGACCCAGGGTTCTATCTCTCTCTGCTCTCTTGAGAGTGTGGTAGAAAGATCAGGGGAACCAGAAATAGCAAACCTCTGTTGCTTATTCTTCCAGAAACTGGGGGATAGTATGTGGGAGAAAAAAGGGGGGAGGATTTGTCTTCCGGGATCCCCACTGATGCAAGGACTAACAGCCTAGGACTGATTTAACCTAAAATGCTAATCACTGCTTGCAGGTAGTATTCAGGTTGGTGCTGGCTTCAGCATATTGCTGAGTCTGGGGGCTGCTTCAGAAGCCAGAGTCCCTGTTCCCTGTTCTCTAGCCTGGCACTTCAGGATGAAGGCCTTTGCTGGGGACAAAGCCCATGGGTGGGAAGTAGCTTGGATTCAACTCAGAGGCCCAGAGGAGGACATGGCAGACAGGGAACCCTGCTGGGTTTCTGAGGAGACCGCCCTGAGAGGAGAACTCTGAGTTGGCTTTTTGCCCCTCACGGGCCTAAGTGAATCAAGCTTGGCAGGCCCTGGCGGCCATCCTAGCCTCCTCAGCAGGGTGGCAGCTTAAAATGCCTTGGGGATGCTGTGGGGCACTAATGGGGAGCAAGAAGACAATGGAACTGGGCTTAATTAGAAACTGAGCTTCCATGCCCCCCCCCCACGTGTCTGTCTAAACAGAGGGGCCACGTCAGAAAGGCTGCCTCCTTACCCTCTCTCTCATCCAGGCCCAGCCCTGGTCCACGCTCTCTGGTCTGTCCTAGCTCCAGTTAAACCCATCTTCTAGGTAGGGCTCCCCCTAGGAATCCTGCGCCCCCACTCGGGAAGAACTATCAGGGTTCATTATTCCACCCTCCAGCCTCCTCAGAGAGAAAAGGGAGTAATAGACAAGAGTAACTTCAGTAAAGGAGCCTCTCAGCCAGATGGTAAAGTGTAAGGTAGTGTGAAATTTACCATTGCCAAGTCTGTTTTTTTACCTATGAGAGGCTAAGCTCTATAAATAAGAGTCACCTAGAACAGGAAAAGCTGCCAGCCCTAGTCCACAGCCAGGAGGTAGATAGCAGGTCCTAGGAGGTCTCCAAGGCCAGTTCCAACAGGAAGCAACATCATACCAGAAAGATGACTAATCCAGCCAGGTCAAAGAATCTCCGAATTAGTTTTTCAGATTAGCCAAGTACTCAATAGCTTTTGGGCTCTTCATGTTCCTTCTACCTGATTTTCCCCCCGCCTCTTCAGCCAGGATAGTCTACTTCATGTTTCAAGTATGGCTTGACTGGCATGTCAGTAATTGGCATGAGGCATCTGCTCTATGGTGTGTCTTCCAGCCTGGGTCAGAGGACTTGTTGATACTTCCACAGTCTGTTTGCTGCCCCATCTGGTCCCCAAACTGTTATATCAGGAGCTTTTGCTGGTTACTTGATGACCCCATATATCTTGGGCAGCTCCAGAATTCCCATTTAGGAAGAGCTTAGGGGTCAGTTTCCTGGTTAGAATGTATTGATAGGTCCCTGGCAGCTGGGCCTGTGTCTTGAAGCTGAGTTTCTGTTGCAAGCACACTATTTTTGCATGGATTGTATGTTGTTTTTCCCCCTTTCCTAACAGTCAGCCAATTATTCTGCCTGTAAATTACAGCCTTTACTTGTTTTTTTTTTTTTTTTTTTTTTTTTCCTTCTACAAATTAAGCTGTCATGCCATCAGCCTTAGGTGGTTGGAGGTGGGGGTGGAGCTGATGATTATTCTTAATGCCATAAATCAGTAAAGCTTTCTCTCAGTCATCCCTTGGTGCCACCACTGCTTGTGTCCCCAGTGGCGTAGTGCCTACCACATGGCACACATTAAATGCATGTTAAGAAATTTGTAAGAATTTCACAGGTAGAAATTAGCCCAGGAAAGCATGGGGCCTGGCTTTTCAAAGCCCCTCCCACAGTTCATGTCTGGCTAAGAGGAAAGTCTTATATAAACTTAAGGACTGGAGCTCCTGAGTGCATCCACCCAGGCAAGCTTCAGAAACCATTACATAGCCTGGAAAGACCAATATGGGCTCTGAGATCAGATATGCCCTTGAATGGAGTAGTGGAAGCCTAAGAGTAATCTAGATAGCAATGCAGGTTCATGAACTTTTCTCAGCTCTTAAACAAAGCAGGTTTTGGGGTTCAGCCACTGATCATTCATTCAGTCCATCATTTGTTTGCTCATTGCACAAGCGTGGTTTGAGTTTTGAGGACTGGCCTAAAGAACACCCTCACCCACAGGGGCCCAGGCTTCAAAGATCATGCCTTTTCTACTCCTTTTCTATTTAATGCTCACATTAAGAGGTTGGTATCCACACTTTACAGCTGGGAAAACTGGGTTTGGGAAAGATGAAGTCATTTACCCTGGGCTACCTAGCTAATAAACAAAAAGGATACCCCAAAGTGCCTGCCCATTTTGCAAGGTCTTCCATCAGGGAC